ATTTGACTTAACTCCTGATTTATCAGCCAACTCATCAGCTCATTGGAATCTCATAAAGCATGGTAGTGTAAGATTAGAAGTACGATTTGAATTCTCACTAATACAAACAATTAACTGTATAGTTTATGCTGAGTTTGATAATGTTATTGAGATAGATAAAAACAGAAATGTTACTGTAGACTATAGTAGTTAAGGTTATATTATGTGTTGTGTGTTAGATTTTATGTGTTATGTGTAATGCATTTTGTGTGTATGTAACTATGTGAAACGTTATAAAATTAAATAAAACAAATTGTATGCAATATATTATTTTTTATTTCTTTATAAATCTTCTATTTAATCTAATACAAAACACTGTTCGAGTTTAAAGTTACACCGGACTCTTTCATTAGATCACCAATAATAACAAGATGTGGGTTTTCACCATCAAACAATTTAAGATTTGGAATTCCTTGATGATAGTTAACATTTGGTAAATTATATAAAGGTTGCATTTCATCAAAGCACCATGTGATCTGATTAAAAACACAATTACATATTTCTGTAACTGATTTTATGAAATTTGTTACAAAATTTGACTTCCCACATTCACTTGGTCCTGTCACAATAGCAGTAAACGGATGTATAAAGTGAAACATTACACACGTCTAAAGTTCTAAGGGGTGAAATAAGAAATGAAAGTGTTGGTGTAAACAATTAATATATATTGTGTATTTGTGTACTATAACTAATGTTTTTGGGAAATCAAACAAAATTTATGATTAAATTAAAATTTTATTTTCAAGCAATAACCACTTGTAAAAAACCCACACTTCGTCACAAGAACAATGTAAAATTTTGTGATTATTTTTGCAAATATATGATTATTACACACATAACGTTTGTTTAAATTTATGACATTTACCAAATCATTGTATTTTGGACATTTGTATTCTTCAATATTAAAAATTCTATCATTCGTCGTCAAAATTTTTAAAAATTGTTTTTCTGTTGAACCACCTTTGTATGCGATCACTTCGTCTTTACACAAATTTCTAATATACCAATTTAATATGGGGATGATGTTCTCTTGTTTGTAGGCACATTTTAATTCTTCGGTCACATCAAAATATGGAATGCCGTGCACGTGTGTTTCACAATAACGAACAGTATTTTGTCTTTTGGCGACAAATAATTGAAAGGATAACTTGACCGAAACAAATAATGATCGATAAACGCATCATTTTTATTAGATAGTTTTACGTCTAGAATAGCCATTTCTCTACATTGAAAATGTTTATGAGGCATATGTAATGTAAAATCCGTCCATGTCGATGATGTATCGAATATTTTTTAGATTTTGTGTCATTTTGAACCAAAATGTTAAAAGTATTTACACGTGACTAAAAATATGTTTGTTCCAACAAACTTCACATAACAATGCTTTATTACTTCCCATCATCCCATCTCTTCCTTCTGCTCTTGTCTTCCTGTAATTTAAGTAAACAGAATCACATTCACTAATGATAAACTAATGATTGTCATTGTTAAAAAAGTATTTTTAACTACTCTAGTATTCGTAGATGCAGTACACACACAATATTTAAATATAATTTGTTAAATTGCAAATAACAATTTAATTGGTGCCGGCGGGGATCGAACCCGGGTACTGTGAAATTTACAGCTTGCGCTAACCATCTGAGCTACCACGGCTTAATATAATACACACACAATATTTAAATATAATTTGTTAACACTAAATCATATACACGTAAGAAAATAACAGAAAGAAAAGTAACTTTGTCAATAGAATAAACACTTAAAATTGCAATTAACAATTTAATTGATGCCGGCGGGGATCGAACCCGGGTACTGTGAAATTTACAACTTGCGCTAACCATCTGAGCTACCACGGCTTAATCATATACACACACAATATTTAAATATATTTTATTAACACTAAATCATACACACGTAAGAAAATAACAGGAAGAAAAGTAACTTTGTCAATAGAATAAACACTTACATCCATGGCCTTTGATGCGTTGAAGTAACACAAATGTAGTATTGATAGATCCACTGCGGTCAAACGACCATACACTAACTCCATGACTGCACTTGCTTGGTCTTATATAGTACCAGTAAGTAATAATTCTAACCTAAAGAATTTCTGCAGTGGAATTGATAGTAACTTTATGCGTCAACAAGCTTATCTCACATTTTGTTGCTTATCTCAACATTACTTCGTGTCGCGTCTTGTTCAGTGTATTGACGACTCAAATACGTTTTGTATAATACAAAATAATGCAATTTAATATTTAGAAATCACTATAATTGATCATTCCTATGTTAGTCATTGAGTAGATTGTACTGTAATAATCTACTAATAGCAGTAATATCATGGATACACTAGATGTACAACAACATCTGAAAAAGATTCACCCCAGTCTAGAAAATAATGTTATGCTGCCAATAGACTGCCCATGTACACCCACGTGCCAACGTATATAATATGCAATTTGAATACAGATGATAAACCAGGGTCACATTGGGTAGCTTTATATATCGATACGAATGACGTCGGTCAATATTTTGATTCATACGGACGAGCACCTGTACAATATCATCTAGAGTTTTTAAAAAGGAATTGTAAAAGATGGAACTGGAATGTTGATAGGATTCAGAATGAGTGGACTTCAGTTTGGTGGCGAATATTGCTTAATGTATTTGCTATATAAGTTTCAGGGATGTTCAATGCATAGTTTTACGAGTATATTTACAGGGAACACATTGTACAACGATATTTTAGTGGATGAGATGTTTCGCTCCTATTTTATAGATAATAAGTAATAAGATTTTGTATTTCGTAAATAAAAATTGTAACAAAATTAGGTAATGTATTTTATTGATGATTCAGATTACCGTTGCAGTTAGGAACAAAGGAGTATAATATAATAGCACTGATAATCCGACGCACGAATAGATAATGACGGTATTCAATGAACAATAGATAAGAACAATGGAGCGCTAATGACGGTGGAGGCTCTCACCGGATATCAATTAGATAAGAGTTAATTGATCTGCACATCTCCGGAATCGTGCATCCTACGCAAAAATGGACCGCAGATTCGTGATCAGAGCATCCGAAACCTTTTTTTTTAGGATCGTGAGTCGACGAACGTTGTACTTGTACCACTTCTGACTCAGTGAGCCAGAACACTACAACGTAACTACTGACTAGCGTTATGTTTTCTCGCATTTGAATCTTTTTCGTCATCATGGATACATTATAAAATTGAGTAATTGTGAAATATGATGGACCGTTGTGGCAGCAACGCGGCACAAGTGGCACGTAAAACGGTAACGACGTTTACGGAGCGAATATTACAAACCAATGCACTATCTGTTATTGATTTGCCCGCTTCCGTTCTGGAGATTTTGACCTGTAAAACGTCCGAAAATTTTTGTCGAAATGACGAATTGAAACCGATTGTGGAAGCTGATGATATTCAATCAAAGGCTAAATTAACAGCAGCTTTCGACGTTGTTTGGAAATTGGCAAGGTAAAAAAACTTGACAAATGGGTGCCCCATGAACTCAATGACCGCCAGCGCGCAGTATGGGTCGTGACGTGTACAGCTCCACAGGCACACAAATGAAGGATTTGAGAAACCGCATTGTTACCTGCGCTGAAAAATGGTTCTATTTGACAATCGCAACGCTCAGCAAGTTAGTTGGATCAGCACCTAAACAATACCGTAAACGAAAACTTACCCCTAGAAAAGTGATGGTCACTGTTAGGTGATCTAGCGCCGGTGTGATTAATCACAACTTCTAAACGGGATGAGCATTTCTGCAGATGTGTACTGTGAAGAACTGAACAATGATGGAGAAGCTCGCACGTCTCCAACCAGCTTTGGTTAACCGCTCGTCCCCGCTGCTCTTGCACGACAACGCACGACCTCATACTGCACAACAGACGGTCTCCAAGTTACAAGATATAAGGTTGGAACCTCCCGTCATCCGCCGTACTCACCAGACCTTGCGTCTACAGACTTCTTTTTTTTCCAGAACTTTTAGCGGGAAAAAAATTCAATACCCGAAAGGCAGTACAAAATACCTTTGAAGAATTTTTTGCCTCTCGTCCAGTTGATTTCTTCAAGAACGGCATCAATAAACTGCCACAGCAAAGATGTATCGATTGCATTGGGTGATTACTTTGTTTAATAGAAATAAAAAATATAGAAAAAAAATTACGTTAACTTATTTCATAAAGAACGGCAATTTCATAGGTAAAGACCTAATAGGAAATATTTGAGGCAATATATGGCGGAGGAATATGTGCAGCAGTGGATGATGAATGGTGATTGATAATGATTGCCATTAAAAATACTTTGGCAGTTATATATTGAAAACAGATCAAACGAGAAATTATCGATATTAAACAAGAGTTTAGTACAAAATAGTTTCCTAAAACCTGAAAGTTTCTGTTGAAAACTGCTTTCTGATATTATCCTTTAAAGTCGTATATCTCGGAAAGGAATCAAATGATAAAAATATTATTGCATTAGTACCATAAGTATTATTTTTGTGATGAAATATTGAGTTTTAGGTGTGACTTAAGTTATACTTCTGTAAAAGTATTTTATTACTAGTATAAAATTAACCCATTCGCTGTCTCGTGTACTACATAAAGTTCATTGCTATTGTCTTACTATTGTGACTGAAAATCTGACATTGAAAGTGTTAAGCATTGAAACTTGCCGTCGTGGTAAAAATATCCACACTTTTGACTTTGTTTCTTTGCTTTTTCAACGTAAATTAGTTAATGATCTTTCTTAACTTTAATGTAAGTTAAATAAATTATAGAGGTTAGGTGACATTGTTATACTTCAGTATTATTTTTAATTCAAATAAAAGCTGTAACAACCTTTCTGTATCTTACGAAAATAACAAGGCTGTAGCTATCTAACAACAAAAAATAGGACGGCTCTAACCAATAACAGTGCAAGTTCAAATACCTTCTCTTGATTTCAGCAAATTCATCCTCCTTTGCTTCATTTCTTCACTTAAATTTTCGACCATCTTTTCGATGAAGGAGTCTAAAACTAAGCTCTTGCATTCTGATGTTATGGATGCCCTGAAAATTAAAAAGTAAAACCTAGGTAATGAATCTCTAGTTCTGTAGTTTTCTCAGTTTTAATATGGCTGAAGATGTACATAACGTGCAGTAGCGACTTACTTATAAATTCTTACTTATAAATTATATCAGGTATAAGTTCGTTTGTTAATTTCGGTTTATTAAAAAATACAACAAGAAGGACTTTTCCTTCTTGTTGTCAGATTTTCAGACATTTTGGCAAATTCACTATTGAAAATATAGAATTCGGCGCATCTAATTTGTTGAGAAAAATTTCTGCTACAACATGGCTACTTATAATTTGTTTTAAACCTCTCTCTCTGATAGTGTTGTAGAATATTCTTAAGACTGCTCTGTATTATTAGTATAACATTGAGCTATTATGTACTACGTACTAGAGGCGACACTGCATTCAGCTACTGTGTTCCCTTAACTGCGGTGCCTACACCGCACTTTAACCAGTCACTCGCTAGGCGCTTGTAGAGTTGTCACGCGTTGTGTTTATTTAAAAAAAACTCTTGATAAAAATATGCCGTCGTGTGTACTTAGATATTGCACAAATAATTCAAGAAATGTCAGTAAAAACCAAGGTATTACTTTTCATCAGTTAAAAAGACACTTAATCAATAATAAATGTATTATGTACTGATAATAAAACTAAATTACATTTTAATGATATTTTTATCTGAATAGTTTTAAAAGGCCTATCAATGTCAAACATAAAAAAAGCGTACTAAATGTATGTTTAGCGAAACTTCATAACGTTATCTAAATTACAAATATATTTATTTAAATTAGAATAAGAGTCGTTCATAAATGCTGGGCACGCGAGTTAAATATGGACGAATTTATTCCACTTTGACTTTGATGTAGAAACCTAAAAATAAAATAAAAGAATAATAAGCATATTTATATACGAAAAATTTAGCCTAATTATAATAACCTATATGTTTCTACAGAATAAATGTGTATAATAACATATTCGTCCTATACTTAAGAACCCACAGAAATGTCGCATCTGAACATATTAATTTCATAATCTATATTCCATGACATGAGATGGCGTCTTAAGAATATTTTTTTTATTATTAATCTATAATACTTCTTTTATTGATTAAGTATCTTATTAACCGATGAAAAGTAATTCCTTGGTTTTTATTGACATTTCTTGAATTATTTGTGCAATATCTAAGTACACACGACGGCATATTTTTTGAAAAGATTTTTTTTAAATCAACACAACACGTGACAACTCTACAATCGACTAGCGAGTGACTGATTAAAGTGCGGTGTATGCACCGCAGTTGAGTGGAACAGAGTAGCTGAATGCAGTGTCGACTCTAGTACGTAGTACATAATAGCTCAATGGATTACTACAATGTAGTATAATAATCTAGTCAACATAATGTACTTTTTTATTTTAATATTTATTAAATCATAAGAAATCATAAAGTTGCCGGAATACTGGCTGGACAAATAATTAAGAACGAAAATATTTAGTTCTATTTTCAAAATGGAATGCGATATTTTTCATTACTAGTTTTATTATATTTTTGCGCTATTATTATTTTCAATCAATCATCGGTTAGGACCTAAGTTTTCTGCAATATTTTTTATATTTTATTTATATTTATTTTAGAGAAATAATAATAAAGTTGCGTGGTCGTATAAGAAAATTGATTTTCTCAAATCGATAGTGTAACAGGCTGAAGTATTTTAATACGCATCAGACAGCTTCGAATGTCCCCCGCAAACCTAAAGCAAGAAAAACGTCTCCATGAAAGGATTTAAGAATAGTACACGTTACCAAGCAAGACCTGTTTAAAGGCTCAAATGAAATAGAAATTAAGATTTTTGTGAGAATAACTCTAGGCCAATCTCTGCGCGTACAGTTCGAAGACGGCTATCAGAGGCACAGTTGCTGCGAGTAACGAGGAAGTACACCAAGCCATAGAAAGGCCCGACTAGCGTTTGCAAGGAAGTATCAAGATTGGACAGGGTAGCAGTAGCAGAATGTACATTTTTCGGACGAAACCAAGATAAATAGAATATGCTTATGGCGAATGGCTTTGGGGGAGATCGCAGGTCACGACGATCCCGAAGCCTGTTATTTGGTCTGGTTCAATAGGAAGCAGACAGAACAGAAACAGACGATCTTCTTTTTCTTTTCTTTTTATCCAACCCCCTTTTCCCTATCCTAACACAATCCAAGGTGTTAAACGTACCGTACCGATGGATGCTTGGCTAGGGGGAGTCCAGTCGCAAACGGTGCCTACCCGAGACCAGAGTGATTTAGGTAGTATTTTAGCCCTTCTCTCGGCATGTTGGCTTTGCCGGGAGTGACCGAATAATCCCTAGCTAATTTTGGACGAAAAAGGAAGAAAATCGATATTTTGAAAAACTCAATTCTCCTTTAATGGATCTGTCTGTAGGTCTGGATGAGGCTACTTTAGCCTCACCAACACCTTGCAACACAACGGCCCAACCTGAGACGAGTTGTGAAGTGGAGGACACGACTGCAGCCGAACCATAATCGAAAACGAACCAGGGAAGGGACAAGAAAAAGTTCGCTAGGCCTTACAAGCTTAGAGAGGCAGCACGGAAGAGTTACAGGAGGCTGATAGCAGGTGGGATAGGAGCCGAAGAGGCTCTCTCTCTCTCTCTGCCACAAGTCCTGGGACGAAATTCCTTTGCCCAAACCTCCCCCGATTCCGAAGGCGAAAAAACGCAGTCGGTCTGAGGAGGAGTTTCCCAAAGACCAGCCCAGGAAATCTGTGAAGCAGGCAACGGGGAAGAAGAAGCTCAGCTGTAGCGCGGTAGTTGGCTTCGCGCATGTAGGAATTCGCAATTCGAATACTATGCGCGTGGAGCAGATGCGGCTGGTCTACCAGGCACTAACACAGGTTATCGCTAAGCAGCCTGTGGGGCGCAGTCAGAAGAGAGACCGAAACTTTCGGGATTCACCTACAAGCCAAGTTGAATTCTGGTAACGTGTTTGGATGTGTATAAAGCAAGCAAGACCGGATTGTGGGTGAAGTCGGAAAACTGAAACCCCGGCCGGAGGCGGAGAGATCTGACTCTCCAAGAGAGGCGGCCGTGCTGTTGAGGCCTACAAAATGAAAGGCTCCATACCGAGCTCTGGAAAATTCTCCACGCTAGAGACGAAGAGAATGGATTCTTAGTAACATTTTCCTGGACGACTCACCGTCGGAGCCTCTGCAGGCGGCAGGCGGCAGAATCGTCCTTAGTTTTAAAATGATAACTTTTACGATCAGGGGCGGCTCGGTCTTATGCATGATCTCAGATATCTTGCGCCCACTAAACACTTTTATTAAAAAGTACAAAGTCTTCAGAGAAGACTGGCTGAATGGACAGGTTATTTGTGAGGTCGATAGCCTTATATGGTATACCAATGGGGCAAAAATGGCCCTCGACGTAGGCTTTGGAATTTATGGAGAATGCCCCAAATTCAAACTTAGTATGAATTTGGGTAGATTCACCTCTATCTTCCAGGCAGACATTTTCGCCATACTTCAGTGTACGGAAATCAATCTGCAAAAACACTACGTCAACCTAAAAATCTATATAAACTCTGATAGCCAAGTGGCACTGCACTACACTAGCACTGAAATAAACTTAGTAAATTCGAAGCTAGTTGGAAACTGCGTGAACCGTGTAAGCGTCCTGCGATGTAACAACAGGATCGTTTTAAGATGGTTCCTGGGTCACGCGGATATACTAACTAACGGGCGGTAACTTGCAGACAAGCTGGAACGAGAGGACTCAAAAAAGTATACAATTTGGACCCAAGCCATTTCATGGAATATCAAAAAGCCTAGCCCCATTGGCCCTTGAAACTCTTTATTACAATAAATCACTTAAGATCTGGTCTGATACACTAGGCTGAAAACATTTTAAATTTATTTTCGTAAAATAGCAGATCAATGCTGCTGTGTTTTTTGTGGTGAGTGTAGAGAATCTGAGACACTTTTTAATGAAAATGAGGCATTCTATTTCAGTCCTCACGGGTAGCAACGCATCTACATTTTGATACGTAATCAATGGCAGATTTAGATGTCCACGGGCCACAGAAGACACTTACCATCAGGTGGACTGTGTGCTCGTTTGTCATCCTTGTCCTTATCGACTCTCTACACTTATCAGTGTGGTTTTTGCCCGGGCGAGCCGACCCATTCATGCTGCAACCATAATTTAGCTGCGACATGGCTCTACTATAAAAATAATCCCAGGCACATACCTACAAATTGGGCACGCCTTTTTCTTCTTTTTCCACATTGTGATACAATATTTGCAGAAAGTATGAGAACAGTTAAGAGTAGTAGCTGAAACAAATAATTCTGCACAAATACTACACTGTAATTCATTTTCCATTATATCTGTGAATTCTGCCAAAGTATTTTCTTTTGTGGAGGCTTCACCAGATTCATTTACCGCTTTCAGCATTTCTTTTTCATTCTCAACAGATCTTAGTTGACTTTTTACCTGTGAAGTATACAGATAAGTTGAATTTTACATTCACTGCAATTTTAATACATATATTATTGGTTAGTCTAATTAAATACTAACTAAATAAAAGAACCTAAACAACTTTAATTTAAAATTTGTTGTTTTTAAGAGTTTCAGAAGGTAGCCTTTTTTGTAAAATAGAATTAAGGATATATTCGGTAAAGAAAATGGATACCAGATCTTTCTTCTTCATCAGACCCTAATAATCTACCGCTCGGTGGCGTCGCATGGGTAACTAGAATAAAATACAGCGCACCTTACTCTCTCTCTCCCTCCCGTTTTCGAAGTAATTTAAAAATATATAATCGGCAAGTCTTGTATAATATAATAAATCAATAGTATATTTCTTTTTAAATTATATACTCACTGACCTCTATATATACAAGTACGCTGGACTGTCTATACACCGTGCACATGATATGGCAATTTGATTTGCGTGATTTTGGCGCTGACAGCAGAAGTGCACGTCTACGGAACTAATAATAGGGATAAGACAGTGTGACAAAATATATCGATAAAAATTCTATATCCAACCTATACCTAAATAAATAGAATGGACTCTATCCGTAACGTCCATTCTATTTCATCATTAAAGCCCTTCACAAGTCCACTGCTGAACATAGGCATCCCCCAAGGAATACGCAAACAAAGCACGGTCCTGAGCCACCTGCATCCATCAACTACCTGTATGTCTTACTAGGTTTTCACTCCATATAGTGAGGGAACTTCCGACACTTCACCCGCCGGTACGAGGCTGCCACTCGAGAACCTTTTTTCGCCATCGGTTATCGGTTCTTCAAGCTATATGGCCGGTCAATTGCCACTTCAGCTTACTAATCCGTTGGGCGATGTCGGTCACACTGGTTCTACTGCCGATATCCTCATTCCAAAGTTTATCCTCCTAAGCTTTCCAGATTCGGCAGTGCGACGTATTCTATGGGGCTTGACATATCGCAATCCATGGGTTCTAGATCGAATACTTAATTGCCTTAGACGGCGGATGTTGCGCAAGAGGAAGCTGCCAAAAACCGTGAATGTAAACGATGGCCAAAATTTGTAAATAAGAAATAAACTAAAGTAGGGCCACTACGAAGTTAAAGCACAAATTAAATCTTGACTCGAGAGAGAAAAATCTCTAGACTCGCACTTACTAAAAACCCATGGTGTTCTACCTCCGCCGCATATTGTCAGGGCCACGGAAACGCTTTCATGCACACCCGCGGCCCCCCGGCGCCAGCCGCCCAATGGCAGCCACTCCTTAGTTCGTGACCTCCCCTCGTTTTTCTTCTCAGATAAGGCGCACCAGAAACAAGGCACACTGCCCTTCGCGGCCTCTGACTCCACCTGCACTACGGACTCCCCGAGCCCGATATGTGAATGGAGCTAGGAAAAAACGAGCAATTGGAAGCATCAAGTGGTGCAGCCTCACCAAAGTCGCGAAGGATAGTCGAGCGGCATCGCATCGCCAATCACCATACCAACACTCCTCTTCCCTGACGACTCCACCTCGACTATAGTGGTACAGGGAGAAGAATCTTCTCTAGCCGCAGCCCACTAACACACATCCAACGTGGCTTGACATCATCAGGCGACCTTTCGACACTTGACTATTGCCCTTGAGTTTGTGGGAAAATGAGGAAAGAAGAAATAAAAAAAACATCCGAAATAATAATCTAGTACTGTTATACTTACTGGTACTACTAGAAAATATTGTCGGAATACTGCACTTTTTGTACAGAAGAGCGAAGAGTACAATCTGCCACTTTGCCTGACATATGTGGACTATGTGAAAGCCTTTGATTCCGTCGAAATTTGGGCGGTGCTTACAGTCCCTTCAGCGGTGCCAAGTTGACTGTCGGTATATCGAAGTGCTGAAGTGTTTGTACAGTAGGGCTACGATGGCTATCCGAGTACAGAACCAGAGTTCGAAACCTATCCAACTGCAGAGAGATGTAAGACAGGGTGACGTTATTTCCCCGAAACTCTTCACCGCTGCGTTGGAAGACGTTTTCAAGCTACGGGACTGGAAAGGATACGGTATTAACATCAATGGCGAATACATCACTCACCTTCGATTTGCGGACGATATAGTCCTAATGGCAGAATCGCTGGAGGACCTTAGCACTATGCTCAATGACCTCAATGGTGTCTCCCAACGGATAGGTCTTAATATAAACATGGACAAAACAAAGATCATGTTTAATGTTCCATGTCACACCTATGCCGGTAGTTGTTGGGAGCACTATGCTCGAAGTTGTTGACGAGTACGTTTACGTGGGACAAATAGTCCGACTAGGTAAGTCCAACTTCGACCGAGAGGTCAATCGACGGATTCAACTCGGCTGGGCAGCGTTCGTGAAATAACGACACATCTTCTCGTCAGGTATACCTCAATCTCAATCAAAAAGTGTATAACCAGTGCGTGTTGCCAGTGATGACTTACGGATATGAAACGTGGTCCTTCACTGCTGGCCGTATGAGGACGCTCAAGGTCGCTCAGCGAGCTATGGAGAGAGCTATGCTCGTAGTTTCTCTGCGTGATAGACTCAGAAATGAGGATATTCGCAGTAAAACCAGAGTGACTGACATAGCCCAACGGATTAGTAAGCTGAAGTGGCAATGGGCCGGCCATATAGCTCGAAGAACCGATAACCGATGGGGATGAAAGGTTCTCGAGTGGCAGTCTCGTACCGGTAGGAGTAGTGTAGGGCGACCCCCCACTAGATGGAGTGACGACCTGGTAAGACATGCAGGAAGTCGATGGATGCAGGTGGCGCAGGACCGTGCTTTGTGGCATTACTTGGGGGAGGCCTATGTTCAGCAGTGGACTTGTGAAGGGCTGTAATGATGATGATGATGATGATGACTGCACTTTTTCAAAGTGGCGCAGTTCTCATGTCTAATAAAACAGTCGTCTGTGAAATGTTAACAACAAATATGATCATTTTGTTTCGTACGCCAATTCACAATATTTATGCTTTTAAGCCATAATTTTAGTCTAGGCAGGCCTCTATCACTCTTGCTACCTGCGTGAAATAATTACCTAAAATCGCGACGCGCCCGGTCGAAATAACGCAGTCAGTGCTGGCGCGTTGGTGGCGATCGAATGTTAAAGTTTTTTGCCGCTGTTTACGTAAATAGTTTTATGTAAATAGTTGTTGAAATAGCTTTTGTTTAGTGTTTAGTATATTTAATTGTAGGTAAAAATAGTTGTAAAAGTTTTAATGTATTTTAAAAATTATATAGGTATTATGTATATTACCTATTTGATAAATTATAATAGCAAAAGGTCGTTCCTACTATAACTGTTGCTTAGATGGATACTAAATGAAATGACCAACAAAAGGCTTCATATCATTCTTTAAGTTACCGAAGAATTTTAGAAGGAAGTTATGAAAGGTTAAAAAATTTATTTAATTTTTTTGTTAGATAGGTACTCACAGCAAAAAAGAATTAAGTAATACCTAAGTACTTCATTACAACAATTAGTTAAAATTTACTTCACTATCCAAGTATTTACTTACATACCTATACTTGTGTTTGTAATTAAAATATTTTGAGTTATAATAACACAAAATACTGAAATTAAAACTTTGTATACTAACAAGATTTTTAACTAAATAGAATATATCACATTTCTGTTAGAAATCGTATTTCAGGTTTATTTGTTGTTTACACTATCTACCTATTTCTCCCAAGCGTTACGATTCCCGACGAATGACCTTGCAATTTGCATGCGTTAGGCATCGCAGAACTCACATGTGGGCGAAAGTATGGTTCAATCATAGTCAGAATATTAGTTAGTACTTCACCTAAGTAACATAATTAACATTTCGCATTGTATTTTTTTACTTTCTATTGACATCCCTTAATAACCACGGAAAGTCCGCCGTGACAAAAAAAGATGCAAAGTAATATGGACACTAGCGCGCAGCGATAAAGTTTTATTTAGCTTGCGTGTGCGATTTATCTGATTAATAATAATAATGTAGGCTATTAAACGTCGGTAAGCAGTCGACATCAAAGGAATGCAACTTCTGTACGTAGTACTATTATTTATTCTGTGGTCTAGGTTCAGTTGGAAACCTGTTATTTAATAAACATTTGATAATCATCTGTTGATGGCGACTTTGTTTGTTAACAGAAATGGGTAGGAAAGAACATCGATAAGTATTATAGACAATAAACTTGACAACCCTATTGAATTTTATTGTTTATCAAAACTCAGTAATATACAGCCAAATATCAATATATATGATATTAAAATTAGTAACAAATTTTCAAGTATTTATATTATCAAATAGTTTTTTATTAAAAGAATATTAACAATGCTATAAACATTACTAATATTCCCCTTAACCACTCGTGGTAAGCTTAAATTGCTTGTGTTGCGAGTAGTCGAATGGCGGATTCGAACTCACGACCTTTTGAGTTCGCGGTCTGCGCCCTGCCGTTAGGCTACTGTCGCTTAGATTTGTTTAATATTATCTGCAAATTTACTTACTTGTGAAATGTTATACCACTTCCCTTTTGGTAACGAGTTTTACAGATTACGCACACTCTCATTACTATTAAAAATAATTCTTATAATGTAACTAATATTATACCTACACAATCAAACAACATTACTTTCGTTTTTTAGTTTAAAAGTTCAAAATATAGATTTTTTAATAAGACAACAGACTTTGGCATATTGTCAATTTTAGTTTCCAAGACAACCGTTAGGGGTGCTTCAAATTGGCACAGACATTTTGTATGGTATAGTCAGTCCAGCGTACTTGTATATATAGAGGTCAGTGTATATACTACACAACATAGGTAAGGAATTAGTGCAGATGTCACTATTTTCAGAACTTACAATTTAAATAAACAGCTAATTTACAGATATTTTAAACTTTTCTGGCAACATTTATAAAGAAAAAGCTGGGTGTTGAGTTTCATTCTCAAAATGCTACCCAATTAAATCTGTCGCCCGGGTCTATAGATACCCCGGCTCTTTTCACTGGCAGGTAGCTGATGTTATAAAGAGTAACTTAGGGTACTTTAATTTTAGAAAAATAATTTGGGTTCCGCGCAAAGACGTAAATTACACGAGCTAAATTACACGCAGGCGAAGTCGCGGGCAAAAGTGTAACAATAATTTAACTTACTTTTAGAATCACACACTTACCCTTTCTAGTTGCTCTAGCAGAGAATTAATAACTTCTGATGATTGTTCTGCATGTTTTTGTATTCGTTCTGCAGCCAGCGCTGCTAGTTCAGTTTCTCGATCTCTTACACGCGTCTAAAGCATAATATAATACACAAAAATGATCTCATGCTGTGCCTTGATTCTACTAACATTTTATTAACATTAAAATATACCTTATATACTTTAAACTATATACCATAAAAGTTGGGTATAAATTGATAAAACCCACTGCCATGCTCTTGCGCCCTCCTTTCTGCCAAGGAGGGTCGCGTTCGTATACGGCTTAGAGATCTCTAGTCAGATCGTTAAGCCAATTACCAAAAGGTTGAGTTTAGTGGGTAAAAGTCTCCACATAACCACGCAGCCGGCTGCGTGGTATGCTATGAGCATTCTCAACCTCCCTCCCCCCGCTTTCCGGAGGGTTGCCCATATTTGCTTCGGGCGCAAAAAAAAAAAAACCCACTGCCATGCTAACCACCGGTTTGCACTGACCCTGGTGACAATATTTCGGATATCTCTGTGCATAATTTTTAACAATTTCAAGTGTATTAATTTTGAATTATAAAGCAGTAACTTGTTCTAAATTGCATGATATACTTAGCTAATTGATAAAAAAATGGACAATTCGCATGTATGACTGAACTTGAACTATGATAACATGTTTATTAAAGTAATTAAGGCCTACAGTAGCCAATGAGCACGTTACCTTTAATGTCTCTGGCACCACTGAAATTGTTTGGTGCAGTTTTAAATTGTATAAGGAAATCTACAAAATTTAAAATCAGCCAAGATTTTTAAACAATCTTAAGATTATTGGAAAAAATTTAAAGTCCATGAATTTGTAATGTGTGTGGGATTATGTTACCCTATCCTGCTTGTGATCTCCTCAATCTCAATCTTGCTCTCCTCAAGTGTTTAGCAATCTGCACCCAGCAGTGGGATGTATAATTTTTTCTGTTATTACACTTTGTAAGACTTTTACTGCCCCATTGGTCTAGTGGTTGTAGTAGTGCAACTACTGATCATGAGATCCCGCTTTCAAATCCCAGGTCGGACAAAGAAAATTTAAGTTTTTCTATCAAGAAATTCTTAGTAGCTGCTGTCTCACCCGTGCCTCGGAAAGCACGTAAAACCGTTGGTCCTGCACCTGATCTCACTGTGTTTGTGTCGGTTTACCTTCCTATAGGACTATGAGAGTGAAACTGTGCTTGTACATACATTTGGGTACTATAATCCCATCCTGAGCCAATGGCTTATTTCCGTTGAGGCTGGCTGCCATGACCATAATTCGGTCTGGAAGAGATTATTATTACTTTGTAAGATGTTAAATCAGTGTTTACCTGTAATTCTTCAACTGATTTATCAGCATTTTGTTGTGCATCAGCTAACTTCTTCTGTAATTCTTCTCTTTCATGTACCTATAATTAAATAATATCTATATTGTTATTTTTTGCACTCAATAAAAGAAAAAATAAAAATTTTGAATGCAATACTTATTTATTAGGCTTACAAGTTTTTCCATCTTTAGTTTTTCTTCATCGTTAACTTTCTTCATTTGTTCCATCTGATTGTTTAAAACTTGTTCTACTTGAAGCTTCTGTTGTTCAGCCTGTTCCATTTTTGACTCAAGATTTTTCTTTAATTCATTCAATTCCTCAAGTAGTTCCAATTCTCGACTTTTCTTTTGGTCTTCTAATTCTTTTAATTCCTTAATAATTAAAACATAAATTAAATATTGAAATTATAGTGACAAGTAAAATATATTTATTTATTCTTAATTGTAACACCTTACAACTATTAAAAATGAGCGGACTTAATGCCTCTCGGCATTCTCTGCCAGTCAGCCCGTAGTGTGGTGAGTTATTATGGCAGGTGTAAACTTGTTTTATGATCTTTGGAAAAAAAAGATATTTATATAGTTACCAATGTATGTCAATTCAAACAATGTAAATATAAATACAAATATATATTACAAGTTTACATACACATACATATAATATATATATATATACATATACCTATCATAAGAGCCGTGGTAGGTCAGATGGTTAACGGTCTCTCTAAATATAACAGAACGCGAGTAACCCGGGTTCGATCCGCCGGCACCAATCAAATTGTTAATTGCAATTTAAGTGCTGATTTACCACGTGCTCGGCGGTGAAGGAAAACATCGTGAGGAAACCTGCATGTTTGAGGAATAAGAAAAAAAAATATTTCGAAGACATGTGAAGTTCGCCAACACGCATTAGGGCAACGCGGCGGACACTTCCTAGCCCTAAAACCCTCTCAGAAATGAGGGGAGGCCTGTGCCCAGCAGTGGAACGTATATAGGCTGTAACTTTACTTTTACTTTACTATACCTATTATATATATTACTTTTGCTTTACTATACTATTAAATAACATGAAACTATTTTTATCATGAAACTATACCTTGTTTCAAAAGGTGTTCATGAAGTAATTTCTTGAACAAGCAGTTGCTTGGAGCTTTTCCTACATCTTCGTGTATGGAATTCCAGAGTAGAGTAGCCTGAATAGTAAAGGATTTCCTGGAGAATCCAGTAAAATGAGTTGGAACACTAATTTTATAATTAGACGAGGACTGTAGAACTCTGTCATGAGTTGAAAAAAGAAATTGAAATCTTTCTTTAAGATATAAGGGAGAAGCTGGATTGTTTAATATAGAAAAGAGAACAAGCAGAATTCTAGAGTTGCGCCTCTGTTTGACTATGAGCTATTTTAGGCGATTATGATAAAGAGAAACATGATTATAATTTCGAAGTCCATATACATATCCAATGCAGTTGTTACAGAGACGCTCTAGCTTGTTGAGAAGATATTGGTTCAAATTTGGGTAACAAACATCTACATAATCAACAATAAGCCAAATAAGTGTCTGCACAAGCATGATCTATGTGTTTACAGGTAGAAAATTCTTTAAACAATAGAGAACATAAGGTGACAATGACTTTGAGACTAATTTCATTGACATGTGTGTCCCATTTTGATGCGCTGTCCACATACAGGCCTAGATTTTTTTTCGAGAAGGGTATCTAAATGTCATTGTAATAGATGGAAGGCAGATTTGATAGGCATATCTTAGACAACATTCTCGAACTACCTACTATTGAAGTTATTGCTGTGGTTAAATTGGCCCAAAGGGAAGGCACAAAAGAATATTTTAGTTGCCTTAAAAGTAAGGATACAGATGCAGGAATTAAACTGTGAAGCTCTCAATGTTGGAATTAACTATTTTAATTTTCAATTTTATATGGTTGATTAGGGTCAGGGGATTAGCGCTTACTGTAAACTTCATAGTATACAAGCAATCCAGGTTCAATCTCCACCAGCACCAGTGAAATTATTAATTGAAATTTTAAGTTCTGATTTACCACATGCTTGGCAGTGAAGGAAAACATTGTTCATAAAAATAAATAAATTTAAAGATGTGAAGTCCGCAAACACGCATTGGGGCAGAGGTGGACACTTCCTTGTCCTAAAACCCTTTCATAAGTGAGAGCAGGCCTGTGCCTAGCAGTGGGACATTATATATATATATATATAAGGTAATTGCATCTAATAAGGGCCGGGTTTTTGGAAATCCTTATAAATCAATTTAGGGAAGTGTGTTAATTTGTAAGACATCATGATCAAGTAAATTGTTTTTATTTGAAGAGAAAATATTGTACAAAAACAAAGCACCAATGGCCAATTACTTACAAAAAAGTTCTTTAAAAGCTTGTCTATGGTCCTCATTGGGCACTAGGGCTCTAAATAAGGTCCATAATTGAACTGCAAGGTTTTAGGCGTTATATACCAGAAAAATTACATTTTTAGAAATCAGTGGCTTTAAACTACTATTAAGTTCGTAGCTTTCGAATAATGAAACGGAAATTTATATAAATTAGTGTCGTGGCCCTTATAAAGTCTTAGGAAATGTATACGAGTAATAATTAATCTCTTTTCTAGTTATAATTGAAACAAATTGTAGTTTTATGCTGATTTTTATTTACTCTAGTAAAGAAAATCACAAAATGTTACTAATCAGTCATTTATTCAGTCTTAGTCATTGGACCATATTAGGTATTACACTTCTGTAATCATAGTTTGGACCTTATTAAGTGTTTGAAAATAACAAACATGGCAACCATTGCAGCTAAAGATTAAAAGATAAATATGCACATATATTCACAGTGTGTATTTACTTATCCTTATTATATATTTTTCATTGAGTGAGTGTCATTGAGTTTCCTAATAACATAAAAAAATGTCTATTTTAAAACTTCGTACCCCTAATAAGGTCCGGCCCTTCTTTGGAGACAACAAGTGGACCTTGTTAGGCACTTAGATATGTACTGAGAAAACTAAAACAAAATCGAGATAAAAAAGCAATAATTTTGATAACTTACCCTGTCAATCCACGTTCTGAAAGTATTTTACACTACTATTGCAGAATTATTACAAAACGACCGGGTTTTATAACTAAAACAACGCAAAATTGAGTCACAATATTTTATAAATTGAGTCACGTCGACCGCCCCTGGGGTTAAACACAGAGCCACTGACAAAATGGTCACCGCGAAAACAATAAACGTCGGTGCGCTTTTGTGATTGGTTACTGGGAAGGGGCCGCGTGGTATCCGTTTTGTTTTAAGTATTAAGTAGGAGAAGTTTGAAAAGATGGACCTTATTTGGAACCGGCCCTTTTTAGGCGCACCTACCTATATATATATATATATATATATAAAGGCTGTATTTTTACTTTGCTTTTTTAACGGTTAATTAGCTTACCTTTTCTTTAGCAATTTTAAGCCTTTCAGTTTCTTGCCTTAATATTTCTTCTAGTTCTTTTTTCTCATTTAGACGTATTTCTTCTTGTTCTCTTATTTTTGCTTCCAGTTTGCCCAGTAAGTCTTGTTTAGATGAACTTTCTCGGTTTAATTCAGAAAGAAATTCTTCCCTTTCTTTTAGAAGTTTCTCTTTAAGTAAATTATTTTCTATTATAAGTTCAGATTCTGTCTCATGATGTTTTTTAACTTGTTCCTATAACAAAACATCAACAACATAAATGTAAGCTGTTAAGAATAAGGATAAGGGTTCTTTGGAATTTGTAACTGATAAATTTTGAACCATTGGAAAGCAATATTATGAAAATAAACTAAACTATCTATTTACCATTAGATCAGAAATTTTTCCATCCATTTCTTTTTTCACAGTTGTCAGAAGATTATCTCTTTCTTCAATGAGCTTCGCTTTTTGTTCCTCAACTGCACTTTTTTCACCTTTTAAATTCTCAATTTGTAAAGTATAGTCATGTTTTAGTTGTTCAATCTTTCTATTCATTTCTAACTGCAGCTGCTTTTTTAATATCATTGAAGTTGTCTGCATTTGTTTAGCATTTAGTATTTTATCTTCAATGTGTTTTATTTCACAACTTTGTGAATGTTCAAATTTCATTTTGACATTGCTTATAATGTCATTATCACTATTTTCAAGTTTTATGCGTTTTCTGGGAGATTCACATGAATTGTCTAAATTTTCCTGAAATGGATCTATGAATAAGTATATAAATTCTTGTGACGGTTCCAGGCAAATTATATCTTTATGTTGAAGTCTTTTCTTGTTACTTCTGCCTAATTTTACTCCATTTATTTCAATTCCATAGGAGCTGTAGTCTTCTATGTACCATGCATCATGATTCGTTTTCCTGATTATACAGTGACTTCTTGAAATAGCTAAGAAGGGTATAACCACAGAATTTTTCAGACCTCGACCAATGCTGAACTGAAAGTAAAATGTACATAAGATTTCTTTAACAATTTTAATCTGTGAAATTTCTATTACTTGACTGCTGAAAAACAACCTTAAATATTTTGTAATTTTCTAAGAGTGAAGTAAACTATAATATTACTACTAACTTATACTAAGTGAATGAAACATAAATAAATTAATGAAACTAATAAAACATTAGGTATTTTCCTGATAAGATTAAGTATTTTCTAGTCCAACTACATTCCATATTTCATCTGAAAAATAAATAGTGAGTTGTAACTTACATCCTGGGAGGTTATCGAAATTTTTTCCAACTTATCAAATTCAGGTTTTAATGTTTTTGTAGAAATTAAATATGGTACGTTATTTTCCATGTTTAAGCTTAAGTAACTTAATGCAAAAAGTAAGATATTTAACTTTTGGAACCACTTTTATGTTATTAAAGGCAACGAAAAAACTAAACACTTCATGAAACGTATGTACAAATGTAAACAAATAAATAATTTTTAACATAATCGTTAGTTTTTTAACAATATCCACAGAGTGTGTACTTCGAACATTTTTTCTCCTCCTCCTCTCTCGGACTTCTTGGCATCAGAATCAAACAAAGAACACATCAAAGAGTATATAACTTGGCATCTAAGATAAATAATTCTTCTAAAAAAACGACTATAAATCAATAGCACGCTACAGACTATAAACTATAAATTTCTAGCGAGCTATTAAATACGCTATGTTATAGCGCGCTATTTATAAGAAAGCGTGTAGGATTCCGGCAAGCGTGTTAAGTTTTGCAGCACGCTATATCTCGTAGCACGTTACATTACCTTCATTGGATAGACCGCGTGCTATATAAGAACATTATTTCTAAGTCGCATTTTACACTGTAATAAAATAAAGCGGTAAAAAAACCAACGAACGCTTTTATACACCTTTCAGGCTTACGACTTTCTATAATCCTAAAAATATTTTTAAGGCATGTACTTTTTAGAACAATATTTTAACCTTAATATAAATTATAAATGAAATAACTGTATTTAAAAGTTTATTGATTGTATTTATAAAAATCAACTATTTACGTACACTATTATAGATATACATCTTTGTATATATATTTTATTTATATTTAAAATCATTAGTTAGGCTTCTTTGAAAGCAGACAACCGTGTCCTTCGGTCACTTATAAATACACAATATTCACTAACTAAACAACGTCTAACACTAAATTAGGTCAAGCGCGATGAATAGCGTGCTACTAGATCAAATTTGCGTCATACGTACTCTACCAACAGCGTCGAAGCGCCATAGCGCAATAGCGACATGGCGACTACTTACATAGTACGCGCTATGTGTTATGAAGAGATAGCGCGCGTAACATGGCGCTATGCGCTATGTTAACCACCATTAGATTTGACCTAAGCGACCTGGGGGCCTAGACAAAGTCCGTTTTCTGTAGGCGTTAACGCCAACGGAAAAATATAATTGTATGGAGTTGACATTTGCTAACCAGATGTCACGTGATTGCTGCTTAATTGGTAGACAAAGTCATTATTCCTCATGCGGAAAGGAACGTGGAAGTGAGCGTGATACGCTAACGACAAAAATGTTCATCAAAATGGTAGACAATTGCCACTTTTGACAAATGCCAATGATATTTTGACGTTTCCGCAACACGCTATATTAGCGGGAGATTGTACACAGACGCTAACGCTAGAAACGAGTAAACAGTGATATTTTTGTGTGCCTTTAATTCAAATTAATTAGTGAAAATGCATACTTTGAGATGTACATCATTATTAGCTGCCCATAATAATATGGGCAGCTAATAATGATGTTTCATTATTAGCTGCCCATTACAAAGACGTCAAACAAGAGTAAATCGTCGTAAAGTGGTGCAAATTGTGGAGATGGAGGAATTGGAATTTGTTCATCGTATTAGCTTAGATAAACAAAGTTTTTGGCGTCTTTGTGATGATCTTCGGCGTTTACTAGCTACTACTCTTATTAGTTTGTGGACCTGAGCCTACAGCCTACACCCGTAAACCGTAAAGGTGCGTAAAGGACTAGTATTACCTTAGTACTCTTATTAGTTTGTGACTAGTATCCTCATGATAGTCTGTGGCAAAGGACTGTTAAACGTTATAGTTGTCAATGTCATACTTTATGGGCATGAACTAATTAGGTCAGCATGCCCATAAAGTATGACACTGACAGATACTGTCTGTACTACTAAGAAATTCAGGACTTCATAGGCGTGATTTTACTGACAGCTGTCGTAGAGATCAAGGTATCTTTTATGAACTATAAGTACAGCATAGATTTAGTGTTTATACTATTAACCATGAAGGTTAGAAAACAACAGAACGATCGCTGTAGAAAATAGTGTCCCGGAAATATGTACAAAATAAATGAGGCGCTGCGATCCCTAAGTTGTCTCTATAATTTTAATTGTTATAAATGTTATAAATTATTACAAATATATATTATTGATTACTATTGATTTATTATTATTATTATTATTATTATAATCTATTTAATGATTCTTTTTGTCAAAAATTAAAATTACTTAGCAGACACTACTTACCGATGGCAGCGTGGCTATAAATTCTACAAACTTTCAGGGACAGGCTGGCTATGCTTTAGCACGTAGCGATCGTTCTCCTGTTCTCTAACCTACATGCTATTAATGGTAGACAGAGAATACTACAGGCACCAGCAAAGCGTGTCGCAAAAAGAGAAACAAAAATGCGTCACTGTATTTAGGGTCACAAGTGTGAGGAAAAATTTACCCCACAACTAGTTATAATATTAAAAATTAGTACGTAAAGAAAGCCTGAAAAGGGATACTACTTTTACCAATTTTCTTCAATAATTACAAACGTAGGATGCGGAAGAGAAGACATGCTATCAAACTCAAATCAATTCTGATGAGGGCAGGAGGGTGAGGATGGATGATGATGATGTGTTCTGGCTTCGTGAGAACACGTTTCACAACATTCTTCGTACGAAAGTTTCTATTTTTTTTTGCTTAGGTTCAAATGCCTTTGTTGCGTGATGTATACCATAACTATCCAAATCTACCCCGTAGTTCACCAGACCTATACATTTTGTTCCATTCCATTGGACGTGCCTCCTTATAGCCATCTTATCCATGCTTACTAGTCGATGGCAGTAGATCAACAGCAGGTTCAATCTAAAATCAAGTGATTTGTATGTTAAATTTGCCACACTTTTGTTTTCATAACATTCCTTGATCAAAAGAAGAAGTACCAAGATTATATAACGAAGATAATTTATTTTAATAGGGTAAAATACATTGAAAAATACTGTATTAAGTCGAGGGAAAATAATATTACTTTTATTTAATATTGTTTACTTACATGAATGCTTAAATTAAAATGTCTGCTGCAAAACCGTTATTTTGGTGTCCAATCTGTTCGTCCTGTAGTTGCAATCCAATTCCGACGTAAATCACCATGTTCAGGAAAACTGCAGCAGGCCATTAAATCTTTCAGATATTTCATTAATAGACACTGCAGAATACATACTATTATTTCCTATAATAGTGGGTAATAGTTTATATAAAAGGTGGCAACTCCAAAGATTTTAGGTTAAAATTTACAACTGTTATTTTGTACCTTTTTAACGTCTAGAGTAAATTATACACAATATATGAATTTTATAAAATGTTACAGAATGCCTAGTAACCGATAAAGAGTGGTATACTTACGAATGAAAATACAACCCTGGCATTTTCGTTCCACTATCACTTTTACACCCTAAAACACTACACCGCACCATATTTAAAAAAATGGTTGGAATACTAAGTAAAATATAATTGAATTACTTTACATAAAGCACGTAAAACCGTAAATTATTAAAATGCGATATTTCGCTACACGTTAGCTGTCAAATTTTGCTCAGCAAAGTAGTGTGCTAACCATGGAGGTTAGAGAACGGGAGAACGATCGCTACGTGCCAAAGCATAGCCCGCCTGTCCCTAAAAATTTGTAGAATTTATAGCAGCGCTGCCGTCGGTAAGTAGTGCTGCAAAGTAATTTTTAATTTTTGACAAAAAGAAATATTAAAACATGGTGAACTATTATAAAAATAATAATAACAAATCAATATTAATTTAATAATTTATAATATTTTCATAATAATTAAAATTATTTAGAAAACTTAGCGATCGCAGCGCCTCACTTATTTTGTCCATGTTTCTGGGACACTATTTTCAACAGCGATCGTTCTCTTGTTCTCTAACCTCCATGGTGCTAACTATGGAGTGTAGAGATAAGGAAAACCATCTCTGTATTGAAAATTGTCCGTAGGAAAGCGCTAAATAAAAGTGGCGCCACAGTAGCTAGAGGGTAAATTTTGAATAACTTTTTATAAAAATTTAATTAAAAATCTACCTTATAGATACCCCCCTCCCACTTCAATTTATAATTTCTTTGATTATTATTGGTCTTTTTATATTCATTTTGTCATCATGTAGCTAAATAAAAATTGTTAATTAAACCAAAAATAGATATATTTTTGATAGAAAAAAACGTATTTCATCAAAGAACAAACATTAATGAATATAAAAAGATTAATAATAACAAAAGAAATTATAAATTGAAGTGGGGGTGTGTGGGGGGGGGGTAATTATAAGGCAGATTTTTAATTAATTTTTTATAAATAAATTATTGACGAAAAAACAATTCTTGATAGAGAACAATCAAGAACAAATCACGAACTAACGATATGTGATAACGAAATTTGAAAAATAAAAAAATTAAAATTTTCGGACGGCTGATTGCAATGACCCGTAGACTTTCACCATAATTCTTTTTATAATAATTATTTTATTGTTTTCAAAATGTTTGTTTTCAAAATCACTCAACGTGTTTCACAGCGATTTTTTTCCAGGTTATATTTAGTTAAGTAATTATTTAAGACAAAGTAAGTTGTTGAGGTTTTAAATACTGCAGTTTCATCAACTACTCTAATCACCACACATATTAAATTTCTCAACTCCGCACACTTCACTCCGTCGACAACTGCAAAGTTCATTTCATACCCTCTAGCTACTCGAGCGCTGTTGTGGAGAGTTTTTGAATAGTTATTGCTTACAGATGGACACATTTGCAACTATTCTCCTATGGGAGATTGTCCTCCTTACCTCTACACTCCTTGGTGGTACTACCTTAAGTAGGTACTAGCTTGTGAGTACTAGCTTGAAAAACGTGGCACGCTCAGCGAAACAAAAAATCTCATCGTTCTATTTCCTTTCTTTACACGACATCGGCGTAAGTTGCTGCTGACAGTGAAAAGATATTAATTTGTCTATAGCATTCTCTGTCTACGTTTAAGGATAAGGACCATGTTA